TAGAATAGTTGAATTTATTAATTATATTTTGATTTAAAATTGTAAAATTTCAATACTATACTGTTGGTAGAAGCATTATTTGTTGCATGATTTATATATTCTTTCATATGTATAGAACTTAATCTCGGAACGTAATACTGAGAAAGTCATGCTAATGGTGTACCACGATTTCCGAATAATTTTTATTATTTGTCAAAAAAAAAAATTTCAAGTAATTTATATGTACCAATTTATTGAAATCAAAAATCATTGATAAACCCATTTGACTTAACGCTATATAACTTATATTCTTACTTTAAGCTTAAAAATGTTTTCCATTTTCAATGGAAACATTAATAATAAATAATTTTAATAAAAATATATTTAAATTCAAATTCTATTTTTAAAACAATTTACAAAAAAACAACTCATTATACAAGCAAAACATCTCAACGGAAACCGGAAGCAAATGGGTGCGTTATAAATCAAAAATTTGCATAAAGAAACTTCATTTCACCTTTACAAAACGCCAACTTTTTCTGTGAAAATTTCCAAACATAAACATATTAAATTACAAATATTAATTTATTAAAAAAAAGTCAATGAAATTATAGAAATGATTTTTAAGAATATTATTTAAATTGTATTTATAAATATATCAAATTAATTCGTAAGCATTGAAAAACTGTCATTATTTCCATAAAGGAATACATTTATTGTCAATTCATAATCAATTGCATCCATTTTAGTTTCCATTGAGTAAATTCAATAAATAAATGTTAAACAAGTTGTAAAGTTTCGAATACTTCAGTAGGTATCTGAACTAATAATAAATGATTTCAATTTTTCTTCAACAGCAACAATAGTTCTTATCTGAAATCTAGTTATGATTTATCAACAACAAAATATTGTGAGACAGTAAATAAACGGTGTAACATTAAAGTAACATTTGTGAACAAAATAGTTTAATATTAGGCACCATTGTTAAATATTCTTTGGTATAAAGTAAACAGTATTGTTTAAATTTTATATCGGTATTCAGACTTTGAGTAGTCCTAAATTATTACCACATATCCTTACAGCCCCACGAACGCATATATTAAATGAAGATACTCCTTCCCTGCATCCTGCATGTGTAACGAGCGAACAGCATATTTTCATAAATATTTACACATGAATTCATTGAGTAAATTTTGATATAAACCCACACAAGACAACAGAGTGGGAGAAAGTTGTTTTTGTTTCTGTTTTTATTACAAAAAATAAATCTCATATGAATATTTTTTATTAAATTGCACATACTATATTAACTTTGTTCATATAGAGTAAACGAATATTTATATTTTACCTCTTCAAATATAATTTAAACGTCAATTTAACATTAATCTATCAAATACATTTTTTATTAACTTAATCTACACTGTCATTCAAAAATACCTTAAATATATTCATGTCCTTGTTAAGTTTATATCAACAGGGCATTTGAGAACCCTTATATTCCACAAAAAACTGTATGTAGTATACTGATACATTTGAGAACTTTTACATTCCACAAAAAACTGTATATAGTATACTGACACATTTGAGAACCCTTATATTCCACAAAAAACTGTATATAGTATACTCACACAACTTTAACAGAGATACAATAAGGGGTTTCTTAGACCAAATAAGCAAAATTATAGTCAATATGATTTTTGTATTCTATGCAAAATTTTACCATAGACACTATGCACAGTAGATGTACGATGCTACTTATCTTTAAAATATTTTGCTGTAATCTACTGTTATGTCTTTAGATCTTAAGTTTTATTAGTTGGAATAGCTATAATTAGGACTAATAATTAAGATAGTATATTAGGATTAGATTTAACTGTGCATTAATATAATCTATTTTTCCATTTAAATAATCCATTTTAAATTTTATTCACTACTATGCGTTAGTAAAACATTTATAGAATAAATGCGAGCTTTTATCTGACACATATATTCGAAATGGTAAGTTCTATTTTTAATTAGTACTCTTAAATTTTATTTATAATCCATCAAAATTTATCAAACGAATATTTTTCATATTAGACTATTATCTCCTATTTAGGTACAGGCAGTTAATAAAATTTTTATATATTACTAAACTATTTAAATGATTTAAATTAATGGACTTATTACTTAAATAATAAGTGCTTAAGCGTTTGTAAAATTGTAGGAATATTATTGAAGACTTCAAACGCACAAAAATGAGATCTGCAAAATTATTTGCATCATTAGGTTAAGAAAACAACTATCAACCAGTAATGGAAGATAAACCAAAATTTAATTTGGAAGAGACATAAATGCATTCCTATTTTTATAATACACACAGAGTGTTTCTTGTGAACGTTCCGCAAAGTTCAGAGATGATTTCTTATTTTAAGACGCGAAAATTATTCTAAGAAAAAGGAAAACATCTTCAAAATTTGCTTATGTGCACCAAAGAAAAACCTATCTACCATATACATTATATAAATTAAACAATCTTCATCTAAATAGTAAAAACCCTTTTATATCTTTCAAATACATAAAAGCATTATTAGCCTACAAATGTTTCCTGCAAAAGGAGTTTCCTTCCAGATTTCACCATTTTGTCGTAAATGTTCTCTGCAACGAGATTCATATTATGGTACTTTTATATTTGGAAATTACTTCATTTTGGAACCCTTCTTTTACTGCGCTAGGATATGCGATATATTTTAGTAATGACTAAACCTGTTGATTGGATTTGCTTGTTTAATGAAAAAGCTGCCATAATTTTAAAAGACACACGCGACAACACATATTGAATACTCCATTATTAAATGTTATCGCCTTTTACTGACACGTCCAAAAAAAATAAAAAAATAATCGCAAAAAGGATTTTTCCCTTTTTAAACTTTTGTGTATTTTAATTATTGATGATTTTCGATTACAGTAAACAATTGTGTTGGAAGTCCTTGGTGTCAATTTACATTTTATTACATTTGCGAAATAAATATTTAATTTCAAATGAGTAAATTTTCTATGAATCGAATATGAAATTATATTTAACATGATTTTAGTGATATTTAGTATTAATTGTTATTATAAAAGAATATATAAATAAAAACAAATAAAAATATATTAAATTCGAAAGCTTTTGAACACTAGTGAATAGTGTCAAATACATATAATCAATAGTCTAATAAAAATATTTCATTTACACAATTATTCGCAAATAATTTTTAAGATTACAAATACCATGGTTTGAACTCTAATAGAATTCTCTTTCTCTGTTATTATTAGAAGGAATATAGCCGCTTTGAAAAAGTTTTTTTACTTTTTCTATAGTTTCTTCATTGCGAATGGTTTTTGCCGACGATTATCGTTCACCATTTTCAAAGTCCTCACTACCTTCATGAAATTGATGAACAGAATGTAGGATACACACTCATTCCCATATATATTTGATAACATTTGATACAATTTTATGCTACTTTCAAAGCAGAATTTAACATTCTCAGTCGTTTTTTACTTTTTCAACCGATTTGCACATAATGCGACAAGTGTAGATAATTCACCAACATCATTCAGTTGAAATTGTTCCTATGCTAAAAAATGTTGAGAACCACTTTTCTAAAAAATATAGTTGCATTGACAAAAAGAATCTTGAGCATCTTTATGTCACTGCCTATCTTTCTATAAAATAAGGTAAACGATTTTAAAACACCTTCTGTTCTATATAGAAATTTGTCGGAAATTTTTACAAGTATTAACATACATAGACTAAGAATTTCGAAATTCATCGGTTTAGCTAAGAGTAATAACATCACTATCATCATGTGATACCACGACGGGTTTTATTAGTCTGTCTTAATCAGATTTGCTGTGGTTAGTCTGTCTGCTAACCGTACGAGCTAACTCAGCCCTTATTGTGTTGCACAGACATTCTTATACTAGTGGTCTTGAAAGGTCATCATTGAAACTAACACTTATTTTTGTCCACACTTATTTTCTTCAAAAACACTCTTTTCTCTTTCTTTTTATATTCCACAAGTACAAAAGTGACAATGTGCAAATTACTTACGCTCTCAGTAAGTACTTAGATATTTGGAAAAGTTCTTCGGGCGAGGTTAACAAAATAAAATACGATAATTGTTGAGAGTATCCTCTTTGATTATTTTTCGATAAATGATCGACCACTCCAACTAGTTCAAGTCCCAGTACATTGAAATTAGAGAAAGCGCCACAGTCTATCACGACCATTTACATGTTTTAGTATTTTTGCTCTATTTTTTTATTCTTTTTCATGAAAGTATTTAACTGTCAAAACTAGATGTTGTGATTGGTAGAGTAATCAAAATCATAAAGATATACTTAATCAGAAAATAAGTTTTATTGATGGTAATCACAGTGTATATAGCAATCGTTGATATTGTTCGATATCGAAATATATACCGAATTTTCATAGCAACAAATGATATTTTGTGGACATGGTATTTGTTTGCTTATAGCTCGTCAGGGTCTTCATCCCATCAAGCTACATGGTTCTTGCAGCTTCACTGCAGTTAACTTATTGCAATTTAAATAAGAACTTTTTTTATATTAATAACTTAATGAAAAATTATTCATTGCGACGTCAAATAAAAACGTTAATGCTATTTTCAGATAATTATTGTTAAGACTATACTGCATTTTAATAATTATAGAGGAATATCAAGAACATGTTTCTGTTTAATTTAAAGCCACTAATATTTTAGTTCAAAACAGTTAACTTTTAAAATCGATTTAAATAATAACTTTTTAATCTAGATACATGTGGGGTTCAAAAACAAAAAGGACATGCCACTATTCTACCATTAATTAGCGTACGACGTAACACGCGATGACGAGTTAAAGAATAAAAGTGTTTGAGAACATCTTTAACTATATAATTATTTTTTTAATATTTTAAAATATTTGTTTCTATTTATAAAAGTATTTAATATATATAAATGTTATTATATATTTAATTGAAAACTAGTACTTACCCGTTGCTCCACTTTCCTCATTATTCAAGTCCATACTTTTTGTGGGCGTTGGTTTAGGAGTTGGTGTAGTGGCTGAAGTTGGTGTATGTCCACCATTTTCCGCTTTTACTATTTCCACATTATATTTTACCATGTTTATATCATATGAAGTGAATTATATTATATATTATGAGTTTTGATGAGTGGGTGGGTTTTTATAGCTTTTTCCCACCCCCTCTCTCGAGCAAATGGATTAGAAGATAATATTTCCGTGCTATAAATCTTAATTGGTAGGTTACATTTTGTTCTTATTGTATTTATTATAAATGTTGCTTTTCTTGTTGCTAAAATTTGAGATGAAATTTGTTGCTTTTATAGTTTTTAGAAAAATTTTTAATTAAATATACTCGAATATATAGTTCTATATGTGCACAGCCGTATGTTGCAACCCGTATGTTGCATTTACTTAAGTCTATGAACTAGGAATAAAACAAACATATGTATTATTTATGTTTCCATTTAATCATTTTTTATTAAAAAATATATGTTAAAATAAAATATCTTTTCACATCAAAGAAATAGATTTTACTTCAGTAAAATACAGTTCGAAAAGCTATAATGAAACTTTCTATGTGCATGAAAGTATTTTAGTTTTTATAACTTTTCTTTTTTCTTAAATAATTTTTTTATGCTATTCTGATAATAAGCAAAATATATCGCAATAAATAAAAATTAACAATGTTTCTACTTTGATTTTAAGGATACTGACGTATCACTATTTAATTTTAAAATAATTAGATGAAAAACAGTTGGTATGAAATGCACTTCTTTATTATTAATTGAAGTTAACGCTAAATTAAAATAAAACAATATGTTTCAAAACATTGTAAATTTACTAATAAATTATTATTAAATCATATGTGAAATGTTTTTAAGAAAGGATCTTTACTCCAAAAATTAGATAAAATAGTGTGGCAGAGGAAAAAAAAAGTTAGTTGTCAGTAGAGCCTCCAAAAAACCTTAAACAAAAAATGTTGAATATCTCAAAAATTATTTCATCAAACCTATTTATACCATTTAATATATTTAACAAATATATATATCATATTTATACCATTTGTTCTCAAATAAATAATTAAAAATTTTATCAAATTAATCAAATTAGTAGGATAACTTTTGCGAAAAATCTTACGTATCTTAAGATTTTTGTAAAATTTATTCTATATTGCTTTCTCCATATCGCTATTGAATATAGTTATTGAATATAGATTGCGCGCACACTTTGTTAACGCCCCATAAAAATTTTAAGAGCCGCATTAAAATGACATCCAACGAAAACCTGGTTGACTGAATTGGTCACAATTGAAATCATTGTCTAATAATTGAATAAGATAGTGTAATTGGATTGAGACCTCATAACTCCAAAATGAAGTGAATAAAGGGAGAAAAATAAAACTTTCAACGGCTTTTGTTAAAGATTTATCAATATTTCTGGGTCAAAGTTAATTTTATTTTTTATTTATAATGCAAATGAAAAATTCGCCAACTGTTTTTATTTGTAGATCTTGTTAACGTCAATTGAACTTAAATTACTAAATTTGAAGGAACGATTGCCACAAACGATCCTGATAACGTTACGAATTTCATTTGTTGCAATTTTTTTATACACCAAATAATTTTTTCGATGTAGCACCATCGGTTTTAGTGCTACGGTGACCAGGTCTACATCATTTCAATTTAAGGGATAATGGAGCTTTAAATCGATTATTCAATTTTTTTTCTATAATTTTCATTTACTGTTATTTTAATAAAACAATTGTTTAGTGGTGATTTAATCCATCAGTTACTTAATTAAAAGTTCAAGAAGATTTTATTGTACACAACTAAATATAGACATAATGTATAGCCATACTATATTCGAATGAATTTTATTAATAAATAAAATAAATACTTTTTAATTATCGTTGTGAATGATTTGCAAAAATGTTGCCCATTAAAAATTAATAAATTATGAAACAATTAAATCCATGGAAATTATTATAAAACAATTTTATTTTTATTAACAATCGAAAATGGGTGATGGGTGAAGTTTTTCAACTTAATATTTGAAATGTCTTGTTGTTAAATTATGTTTAGAACTAATTGAATTATTTTAATTATAACGAAAAAAAAACTTAATTCTAAAAAAATCAAATATATCATAAAAAAATTTAATTCTAATTTTAGTAAAAAAATAATATATCATTTAAAATTTATGTTAACAGATTCTACCCAAAAATATCCATAATTGCTTTTTTGCAATATTTTGGTGAATTTTTCTTAGTGCTGCTATTATCTTTAATTTATTTATTAATTTAACACTTCGATGAACTGTGAACGACCAAAGTTTTAAAATGGATTACTGCAAGTTGAACTAAGATACGACCGAATTGATTATTTAATTTTTGTTTAATAAATTTGTTTCGAAAACCTAAAACTAACATCTATTTTGCATGAAAAATTAACATAAAACTCCATATATAAAAATGTTCTATAAAATTTAGACATCACAATAAGTATTTCATGCGAAATAGATGTTAGTACTGGGCTCAAAAAACCGACTACACATTTTTCTACTGTTGCATTATATACTGCTATCCAAATTTGTAGAATAATTTGGAATCCAATATCCAAAACTCAAACCGATATTACCAATTCAAAAATATTAGCGCAGATATTGCCTATTCTCAACCAATCAAAAACATATCCATCATTTATTTATAGGACTCAAGTGGTATATTGATCTACTTGTAACTAGTTGTCTTAGATTTTGAATAATTGTGAACATCGTGAATTGTTTTGTTCTATTTTATATGTTATATGGAGTATCCGGTCATTCATTTAAAAAAAACAATAATATTTGTCTCTGATTTATTTACTTTGTTGAGATAGTATTTCAACTTGCATGACTCTGTCAGAAACTCTGAGATCCTTTAAATATCCTTCAGTCCTGTTCTGTTCAGTACAAAAAATGGGAGACTAACTTATGTTATTTAATAAATCTTTATACCTAGTTCTTAAATTGGGTTATCTACTTCCTAGAATATAAGTATATCCATAATAAGAACCTTATAAGAATAGAAATTGACTCAGATCCAAATAATTGAAATTTAGCTTCTTTTTAGGCAAGGGAAACTCGTTATCCCCCTTTCATGCCACGAAATCCATCAGAAAGAAACGCGGTAGCTTTATTCTAGTTCTTAAAACATCTTTAAGTAGTTGCTTATTATTCCTCAGACATTTGAGAGCACAGGTTTTCATAGCAAATATTTCTACTTAAAATTGATTTGGAAATTTACTTCTTGTGAAATTTATTTTATCATCATAAAAACTAATTTTTTGTAAATTATAGTAATTTCACATGGGTACTAGTACTAAATTATGTAGCAAATTAATTTTATTTACATTGATTTACAGTAAATTTTTGTATAAACATTCAGTTGATTAACTTAAAAACTGACCGACCATGTTGTCTACTAACAGACAGATAGATGAACATTTTTAAGTCGATTCATCATATCGTACCGGTATGGAATATATTGCATATCACATTATTCCCATTTTAAGCTTAATAAAATTTTTTCACACTATGCATGCGAAGGAAGTATAAAAATAAATAGTAAACATTATAAATAATGGCCATTTCCCACACCTTAAATACATTCTGTAAGTTGCAATATATAATATATTTTTGAAAATAAAAACAAAAAGAAGAATGACGCTGATTTTATAAGTTCACGCAACATTTCAGAATGATAGCATAAGAAGATTTTTAAAGAATAGTTCCAGGGGATGAAAAATGATTAAAAAATTTATAATTATAAGAAGATAACAGTCAGTACAGCATATTATCTTGCAAATTTGAAAAAAAAAACAACATTATTGTATTATAAAAATAAAATTTGAACTCGCAGAACTCTCAATTTGATATGAATCAGAAGTTGAATATGTAAATAAACCTCAATCTGGAGTGATAATTATCAAATAAATATTAGCTTACAAGTGCGAAAAGTGCATAAAAATTTTTAGAGTGATTGTAAAAATTGAACACTTGAAAATATTAAAAAATGAAATTAATTAACAAATTTTTCAAATTTTTCTCAGATGTTAGGGAAGCAAAAATAAAATATAGATTAGTAAAAATTCTAAAAATGATTATTTTTGTTGTTATAAAGTACAAAACACTATATGCATATAAATAGAGAATAAGAAAAGTACGATATTTAATATCGTACTTATATTAATATATTTAATATCATACTCTTTTAAATAATAAAAGCAAGAAAAATGTGATTTATATAAACATGGAAACACATTGATTTTTGGAAATTTCTAGAAGCTTAAAAGTTTTTTTTATTAATTTTGTTATTAATTAATATCAATAATGCTAATATTGAAAAAATCGTAAAAAGCAATTATGTCCCCTTAATTAACTTTAAATTGTCTTTGTCGCCTTTATCTAACATAAAATATGTACGGAAATATCTTAAATTTAATTGAACAAAGATTACCGCAGTTTTCTAATTAAAATTACAAATACAAAATTTAAAAAAAATTTCGTACACTTTTTGTAGTCAAGTATTTCATCTGCTTTTAAATTAACCAATCATTTCAATTAATTAAACTATATTTTCCATTACTTATGGTAAGAAAAATATTTATATGAGAATGCAATAATTTACTTTATATTTAAAAACTGGATTAGAATTAGAATTAAAAATAAACTGGGTACCAGCTCCCAGTTTAAAAACATAAATATTTCTAAAAGAAATATAATTTAAATATTTGTTTTTATATAGAATACACAGCAAAGTTACAAAATATGTGCGAACATAAAAGTCAAGTATGGCTTTGGGGCAGTTGGTTAAGGTGCGCTGACTCTGAGCTTTAAATTTGAATGGACAGCTTTCGATTCCTGATACTTGCAGTCTCAAAAATTATTTACGAATAATTGAATACAAGAATTATTTCCAAAACCCTTGATGATGGGTATTTGGCAAAACGCGAAACAGCCAAAAATTCAATTAATTAAAATAATATGAAATAAATTTTTGTTGTTGTAGTTCAATGCTGTTCGAAAAACCTCTTTATAGAATATATATAATTTATATATTTTTCTATATATATTTTCATTGCAAAATAAATTCTCTTCGGAGTTGATACATTTTGGCTGCACTACTGACATATTTTTAACAAAAATTTATTCATCCACAAAAGTTCAATCATTTCTATAATTCAATTTTATTTAATCAAATAATAAATTTACTTTTAAAAATATAAAAATATTTATAATTATATTCACATTATATATATAATATTGTCACTTTTATAGTTCAAAAAAAAA